CTTACTAGCCCAATACGTCCTATAAAAATATATTTTATCACTGGAATAGTGTAAAGAAATCATATTTACTTACCCAATACAATGATCGTATCTTGTATGCACTGTTTCTGGTTTATTCACAAACATCACACCCAATTGTTTGATATTTTTTAAACGTTGGAATTGAGGAGTATTAATGATTTGGACGATGTCATATGGAAGCAGAATTTGACCATGTACTGGATCAGCTATTTCTAACTGTAAATAGCAAATTTTACGATTAGTGTATATTTAATACAGTTGGTATTATTTAAAGTTTAAAGAAATATAAAAAATTGTTTATTTAATTTAAAGTAGCATTAATACTTATTTGGAAAAATATAAAACGAATTATAGATTAAATAAAAACTTTTATGGCACGCTATTGATATAAATATATTTTATAGCTACTACTTCTGTTATCTTAGCGATACAACATTGTTATAAATTAATTCATCACTAATCGTAATTTAATAAAAATTTTTAAATCTGGGACACAATTTTATCAGATTTTTTTTCACAATTTAGTAATTTTTTAATGTTTTACAAGTATTTGTCGTTTTAAATGACAAAATACATACCATTTTTCCACACATAATGATTCATAAACGGTTAAAGTAACAATATATTTAAATTTCGTTCTTATCTTTAAACGGAGCAATTTTATAATAACTTCATAAACCAAAAATGTTGATATAAATGTTTACAAGAACCAATCAGCTGATTATTTTCTCAAATTCCGTATGATTTTAATTTTAATGCTGCCACACCTTTTTCAAATATGCTAAAGCATGAAATGCAGATGGCGCCACCTTCTTAAGTCTCAGATTCACACAATACAATTAATATATTCAATAATTATACTATGTTCAGACAGTCAAATTCTCTTAATGTCATAAAAATGAAATTATTCTTAATACCCAATATCGAACACTTAAAGTTACTTACTAGGCGACACTGCAAAAACTGCAAAGAAGATAATTCAAGATGATGTTCAATTATTGGGCTGTACAATAGCAATCTAAACAATAAAGTTTGTTGTAAGAAATCTATATATTTTTGGCAACACAGATTTACCAAAATGTTATTAAGGCCTTGTGCGAGTTCGACCAAATTGATACTAAATTGACGGAAATAGTAAATTATGTCGTTATGACAGCGAATATTATAGGGTAAATTAGATAAAAATGAGATAAATTAGGTGTTATAATTGTGAAAATTTTATAAGATTTTTAAAAAAATAAATAAATAAGAAAACTTTTAACCAATAATAATAAATAAGTGCAATAATAAAATAAATAAATATTTACATAAGTGCAGTGCAAAAAATCCATAGGAAATTTCAATTTACTTTACCTCAGTTTAATCGAACTCGCAGACGGCCTAAATATCAATTTATATTTATTTAAAGTAAATTATCTAAAACTCGATGAATGGAGTTGTATAATTGTGAAATTACAAACAAATGATTTTATTTATACTAGCGCTCATTTATGAAAAAAACAAAGCAACCCAAAAATAATGTAAAGAATAAAAATTTAGCATTTTTTGGAAATTTGACGAATACGTTGTGTGCGGAATCAACTTCAAGAGTAATTGATTCAATTTGATGATAGTGGCCGTAGACTTCAGACACGGTGTATTGCTTGGTGAAAGAATTGTTATTCATTTGTTTTTAATTTATGGACGTTGTTTAACTACTTCTTCTTTCAAACGCAACAATGGAACCATGAAGTGAGCGCTATTAACAGTATTGCTTTTCTCAAGGTAGTAGATAAACAAAATTTCACGCGTATCTCAATCGAATATTCACATTGTCTCATTTATGGGGTTTGCTCATTATAACCATCAATGAGAATGATTTACCATACAAAAATCTTACAGATAAATAGGCTCATTATCAATAAATCAGCTTATTTTATTCATTTATAGCAAAAAAATGTCGAATGCAACCGCTAAAAATAAATTTCCCATAAGGGAAATTACCAATATTTGAAATATGTGTCATATGTTTCATATGTATAATGTGAACAAACAACAGCTGAGCTGTAAACAGAAGCACTGACAAAATACGTATTTAATAAAGTCTCTGTTTTTATTAATTGAATATGTAATTGATATATAAAATGTTTATAAATGATTTAATATATCAATTATAATTTAATTTTTTTGTGTTTTTTAATTATTAAGTGGTATTTATAAAAATTTATAAAAGTTATATCAGCTGCATAAATGAGCTCATTACAATGTGAACGTTACTATATAACTTATTTTTTTAATTTATTACTTTTTAATTTGGTTGCCGGCTATTAAGTTTTATCATCATTATTGCAGTCAAATTCACTTCAGAAAGATTATACTGCAAATATCTTAAAATTAATTTTGGATATAAAACTGATCTCTCATCGCTTATTTGTGTAGCACGATATTTTTATACAGGAATACTGTTCCTGTATTTCCTCAAGTGAGCATCAATATTAATCAATTATTTCTTGTTTTGATCTATTTCGTATTATGTGCACCGAATATCTTCGCCACATATATTATCTTCCTTCTCAGGCTAATACTCTATCTACAGCAAATTGGACTTTGGCAATATTTTTGTACACATTCTCATATTTTCAGATTTGTTTGCTGACAAAATTCAAAAATAATAGGTATTTGCATTAGAACATAAATCTTGCCAAAGTCTAGCCAGTGTAAACAACAGGTAGAATTAGAGCATATAATGCATGCGATAACTATTGTTAGATTGATAACCGTATGCCTCAATAAATATTCAGACAATGTATTGCTATTACTTTTTCGTTAAAAATTTTTTGATAACAACATTTTTTTTTTCACTGCTCACACATCGTGAGCATGATATCGATTACGGACATTTTTCTACGAACTTCAACAACCATGACAGTTTGATCTTCACCATAAAAATGTTCAACCCAAACAAAGTTTTTTGAAAATTAGTATTAAAAAAAACATAATAATGTTTGTACCACACATTGCACTTATGTGCGCACAAAATGCACAGCACTTAAAGTGCAATTAATAATAACATCGACAGGTTTTCGCAGTGCAACAAAAAATATTCAATACATATAGTAGCACTGCCCATGGTGTATAACAGGACTGTCCAAAACACGGCCCACAGACCGCATGTGGCCCGCGTCTAATGTTTTTGCGACCCGCGGCATGAATTTAATTTACTACAATTATGCAAATCTTCTTTTGGTGTAAAACCACATTATTTTATTTTCGTGGTATATGTACCAAATATATGAATTTAAATTGATAAATTATTAAAACAAAATTTAGAATTAGAAATTGTCGAAAACAACTACGAACGTATATATTTTTTTCATTGATTCGTGTTGGTCCGCGATCGCATGTGGTCTGGACAGCCCTGATGTATAACATACTGCATATAATCTAATTCATACTATTGAATTCCAAAAACATCAACAGTTTTAAAGTTACTCCATAATGGCTCAAACTAA